CCGCCCCGGCCCCGCCGCGCCGGCGCTCTGGCTGCCCCGCTCGCTCTGCGACAGGCCCAGGGCTCGTGTCAACTCCTCCTTCGGGGCTCGAGAGACGGGGGCCAATGCAAACGGGGGTCAGCCAGGGCGCCCGATTTTGCAGGATCCTGCAGGGCCAGGGTCGCAGTGACCCAGGTTTGGGTGCAGGATCCTGCAGGATCCTGCAGGATCCTTCGCGTTGACCCCGGTTGTGGTGCAGGCTCTTGGAGGGTCTTGTAGGATCCTGCAAGGCCTGACTGACCCGGGTTTGGATTGACCCGGGTCAGAAGATCCCCAGCTCTTCGACCCCGCACCGTTTCGACATTACCATCAGTATCGTTTCACTGGTCCCTGTATGCCCCTCGAAACCCGAAGAGCGCAGCCCGGATCCCCATCTAGGGGGATGAATGGGCCAGTGGGGCCCAGCACCCGCTGGTGGGGAGTGTCGGTTAAACGATACTCATCCTCGACCCCGCCTCGTCTCGACATTACCATCGGCGGGCTGTTTTTCAATCCCGGAGCTTTTTGAGGGTCGGGGGCGACGTCGGGGCGTTGTGGTGTATACTTTTTTTCCCCCCCCCCGCTTCCCGGGAACCATCGAAACATGTATACGCCAGGATCCCGTATGCACCAGGATCCGCTTTCATGTGCAAACTTCAGTGCAGGGCCGCAAAAAGCGTCGGCGTATGGAGATCGGTTCCCGACCTCCGACTCCGCTTCGATCGGCCACGCATCAGTCAAGCAGTGGCGAAGCGTCCTAGCTCGCCTATAGGCCCAAATCATGTTCTAAGAACCTTTTGTGGTCTGCACGAAATGTGATTCGAACAGTTCTGGCTGGGGCTGTCTTGTTTTGACACGTCGGGCTTATGTTCGAAGAACAGGGTTTTTGTTCCTAGAGCATTTTTGCGTTTTAAGAACATCTCGTGGTAGGCCTATGGGACCGCGAAGATCGGAAGGGGCGGGGAGGCGCCTCGGGTGCTCATGGCGGGCCCAGTCGCGAAAGCCACGTGGGGAGCGCACATCAATGGTCTGAGGGATTCTGCCCTGAGGCCCCTGAGGGTTGCCTCTGCCAGGTCCTTTGGCCCCCATCCAGCCTGGCTCCTCCCTCGGCCACGCTTTCCTCCTCAGTGGGGCCCCGCAGCGAGATCCTCTCGCTGCCGGGACGGCCGGTCCCTGCTCAAGTCAGGGCCTCCAGCGCTCCGACGCTCCGACAACGACGGGGGCGGGCGGTTCTTCTGGCCGTTTTCGGCCTCGGGGGGCACCCGCTGGGCCTCGGGAGCGCTACGTCGGGCCTGCCCCTCCACAGGATGATCATTCAAAATCGTCAAAAATAATCAGGGGAGATTTTTTGGTTTGGTTAAATGTTATACATGTATGTTTTGACCATTTTGGAATATGTTTGGACTATTTTTCAAATTAGATTTGCCTGTAGGAGGACATGCTTGATGTAACGCGAGCGTCAGAAAACGATTCAGGACGCACTACGAGCCCTGGAGAAGTGGTCCGGACCTCCGGGGACCACGCACCGGAAACATTGGAGCAGCCAGATGTCTGGGTCCACTTCGATCCGGTAGGTTCGATTCGCTATCGATTCTGTCCGGCCCGATGCGAGCTGATTTTGCTTTTCGGGCGATATTTGATGCGGTCCGAAAGTTTGCGTGGCGTTGCTGCGCATCCTGGCGCGGCCGCTCCGATTCGATTCCGACTCCATACCGATGCGGTCCGATGTGACGTACGTTCCGATCCGATGCGATTGTTTGATTCGATGCTGGCTGCTCCTGCGCAAAATCAGGAGGAGAAAAAACACACAGACACAATTGATCGTCGACTCCCCAGAAAATACGGGAACATATGGGAAGTGGGGGGGAAGACAAAGACCCAGAAACTATGGGAAAATATGGGGAATCCTTTTATTTGTGTGTATTTATTTGTGTGTCCCAGGGCCCCTTCACAAAGGGGCTCTGGGACACACAGCAGCCCGACTGTCGGAGGCACCCTTCGCCGAAGTGACCTCCAGTGCGGGCCCACAGCGCCCCCCCCCCAGCAGTGGTCTGCGCGCCTGGATTTGCCGCCCCCGCGGCCCCCCTGGTACCGCGCACCAGGGGGTCAGCGCTGCCCGGGGCCCTTCTCGGGCGCAGCCAGCGTGGTGCGATCTCGAGCAATTTCGATGCCGATGCCCCCCGACTTCGGATTCCGGTTTGGATTTCGGCTTCTCTCCGGGGGCCTCATTCGCCTGCTGATTTCCGCCGAGCCGACTTCTCCCGACTTGGCTGCCGAGTTCCGCCGATCCGATTCATTTCGATCGCCAATCAGACTTATCGATTCGATTCTGGCCTCTCCTGGAGGCTGTGGACGTACCAGAAGGAGTCCAGGCCGCCCAGATGGGGTCCTGGCGCGGCAAGTTAGCGCCGTGCTGCGCATCGGGGCAGGCGTTTTTCCCCAATTCCTAAGATGGGGTTCTTGTTATTACTCTGACGCCGCCGACTTCTCAGTCAGGCCTCCTCCTATTCTCGTCTCGACCTGCTTAGATTCGTCCATACTCAGATTCCTTCGCGCTAATACTATTCAGAGTTGTTCGCATTCAGACACACTCATACTCATACTCTCCCGCATTCACTCATGCCAAGACTTTGTCGCAGTCATTCATTCATATTCAGAAGATTCGGAGGATGTCTCAGGTGGGGTGTTGGTTTCAGCACCCCTAAAGGGAAGCCGCCAGAGGGTATTGCACGGCCTGTCAGGCGGTTTGCCTATTGCGGTGCCCAACATCGATTTTGTTGACAGCAGTTTGTGAATTTGTCACAGGCGGGGCGCTGGTTTCAGTACCCCTCAGGGGAGCCGCCAGGGGGTGTTTTCACGGGCCCGTTCGCGGCCTGTTTGTGGGGATGTCTCAGGCGGCTTGCTTGTTTCCGTGCTCGAAATCGTCCTCGTTTGAAGCAGATTGTGAGGATGTCTCAGGCTGGGCGCTGGTTCCAGCACCCCTACGGGGAACCGCCAGGGGGTATTGCATGGGCCCGGTCGCGGCAAGTTTGTGGGGATGTCGCAGGCGGTTTGCCTGCTTCGGTGGCCAACATCGTCTGCGTTTACAGCAGATTGTGAGGGGATTTGGCACCCCTAAGGGGAGCCGCCAGAGGGTATTGCACGGGCCCGTTCGCGGCCAGTTTGTGGGGATGTCTCAAGCGGTTATCTGGTTTCGGTGGCCAACATCGTCTGCGTTTACAGCAGATTGTGAGGATGTCTCAGGCTGGGCGCTGGTTTCAGCACCCTGAAGGGGAGCCGCCAGGGGGTATTGCATGGGCCCGTTTGCGGCCAGTTTGTGGGGATGTCGCAGGCGGTTTGCCTGTTTCGGTGGCCAACATCGTCTGCGTTTACAGCAGATTGTGAGGAGTTCCAGCACCCTTAAGGGGAGCCGCCCTAGGGTATTTCACGGGCCCGTTCGCGGCTAGTTTGTGGGGATGTCTCAGGCGGTTATCCGGTTTCGGTGGCCAACATCGTCTGCGTTTACAGCAGATTGTGAGGATGTCTCAGGCTGGGCGCTGGTTTCAGCACCCTGAAGGGGAACCGCCAGGGGGTATTGCATGGGCCCGGTCGCGGCAAGTTTGTGGGGATGTCGCAGGCGGTTTGCCTGCCAACATCGTCTGCGTTTACAGCAGATTGTGAGGGGATTCGGCACCCCTATGGGGCCCGAGGGTATTGCACGGGCCCGTTCGCGGTCAGTTTGTGGGGACGTCTCAGGCGGTTATTTTGTTTCGGTGGCCAACATCGTCTGCGTTTGCAGCAGATTGTGAGGATGTCTCAGGCGGGGCGCTGGTTTCAGCACCCTTAAGGGGAGCCGCCAGGGGGTGTTTTCATGGGCCCGTTTGCGGCCTGTTCGTGGGGATGTCTCAGGCGGTTTGCCCGTTTCCGTGCTCAACATCGTCCGTGTTTAGAGCAGATTGTGAAGATGTCTCAGGCGGAGCGCTGGTTTCAGCACCCCTACGGGGAACCGCCTCGGGTGTTTTCACGGGCCCGTTCGCGGCCAGTTTGTGGGGATGTCTCACGCGATTTGCTTGTCTTGTGGCTCAACATCCTTTGCTGTCAGAGCAGATTTGGAGGATGTCTCAGGCGGGGCGCTGGTTTCAGCACCCTTAAGGGGAGCCGCCAGGGGCTAATACAAATTATCTTTTTAAAGGGATCCACGTATGGGGAGCTCCACGCAGTGAGTAATTCGTCCTGCCCGGGCCTCCTGGGGTCTTCTCGTCGCCACGGCTGGATCCGCCTGGAACAGCGGGTCAGGATGGACCCCGGCTTGGGCTCCTGGGACCGAGCCCGAGCAGATGTGGGCCGGGCGGGAGAGTCGCCCTTGTCTCCACTGTCTCAGCTTGGCCCCGTGTCGACGCGGCGGCGTTCAAGGCCCCAGAAGCAACCGATATCGGACGGCCAGCGCTATCGGAAAGCCGCGATCCTTCAAGGTTGAGCGACCCACGCGGCGTCAGAAACCAAAGCGCAGGTCGTCACGACCCGAATCTGCAGCAGTGCGGTGGGGTCGGAAGATAGCGCGCATCGCCGATGCACAGGCGGTGCGGCTCGATCCGGCTCGATCCAGAGCCCGATCTGCTCCATCCCGACGCCGCCGCTGCATCGCCGATGCGTCGGCGACGCGGCGTAAACCTATGTAGGGGGCCACGTGCGAACCCTACCCCTGCCCCCCACGATTTCTGACGGGGAGGGTGGGGTTTACTTCGCTCGGGAGCTCCCGAACGAAGTGAACCCCACCCTCCCCCTCAGAAATCGTGGGGGGCAGGGGTAGGGTTCGCACGTGGCCCCCTACTCCGACCCCCGCCTGCTCGGACCCCCACCCGGGCGGCCCCCGAGGAGGGCGCGGCGTGGATGTGGGACCTCTACCACGCGCGCCAGGGGGGCGTGCTGGCCGACGAGATGGGGCTCGGGAAGACGGTGCAGGCCTCAAGTCGGGCATGTCCCTCTGCAGGAGGCATCTTCGAGAATGGTTAAAACATCGTATGGGGACGATTTGTTCGTGCTCTGCTTTTCCTACTCTTGCATATTCCTTGACCATTTTATACATTCTGCCTTCAAGATCCGCCTGTAGGAGGACATGCCCGACCCAACGCAGGCCTGCGCCTTCGTGCAGGCGGCCCGGGCGGCCGGGGCGAGGCACGCCCTGGTGCTCGTGCCCGTGACGCTCCTGAGGCAGTGGGCCACGGATCGGGGGGACTTCCGCTGCTCGCCCCACCGACCTCGGCCCGGGCGACCCTGGGTCCAGGATCGGCGTCTGCGTCGGGGGCGGCAAAGGGGGGGGGGCTGATGACTACAGTGAGCGGCCTTAATAAGGAGCACTTGCTTTTCAGAAGGGGCTCGGTCGTTCCTTAGGCTTCCACGCGTTATCTATCGTTCCTTATGCGTTATGTATTACTTGTCGTTCCTTATGCGTTACTCCCTGGAGAAAAGAGGGGGCTTCGTTCCTTATTTCTCGTTCCTTTGGTCAGGCCGATGACTGTAGGGTGGGGGGTGGATCTCGTGGCGGGGGCCATGATGTCTCCCCAGATTTCATGGTATTGCGCTCCCTGGCCCAACCGCTGGGCCGCGCACGCGCCGCTGGCCACGAGTTGCGCCCCCCCCCCTTTCCTCCTGGGCGCCCCCCTCATGGCCGACCCCGACTGCGCCTCCGTGGCCGAGCCGCGCGGGGCCCGCACGCCGGCTCCCGGGCCCAGAGGGGGGGGGGGGGCCTCGACCTCGGTGGGGCGGTCGGCCGACGCCGCCCGAGCAGAGATCCGGAGATGGTGCCCCGAGTGCCCCGTGTACCTGTACCACGGCAGTGCGGCCCAGCGCGGGCGTGCCCTCGACGCCGTCCGGCTGCCCCGCGGGGGCGTGCTGCTCACGTCCTACAACATCGTCAAGAGCGAGAACCAGCACCTGCTGGGCGTGGCGGTCGATCCCCCGGAGCCAGGGCCCGGCCCGGGCCTCATCGAGAGGCGGAGGTGCGGGCAGCCTGCAGCAGCCGGAGCCGGGGCGGCTGCCTGGAGGCCCTGGGACATCATGATCTGCGACGAGGCCCATGTCATGAGGAGTATATCCACGCTGTTGGGCAAGGCGCTGCGGAACGTGCTCTCAAATTGCCGGATCCTGCTCACAGGCACGCCTGTCCAGAACCGCCTGCAGGACATGTGGGCGCTGATGGACTTTGCTCAGCCTGGACTTCTGGGCAACCACGCCACGTTCACGAAACGCTTCAGCGACCCCATCGAAAAGGGCAGCGTGCGCAGCGCGGGGCCGTCCGCGGTGGCCCTGAAGAGGCACCTCTGCGATCAGCTGCTGCAGTTGGTGGCTCCCCATTTGCTTCGCCGCACAAAGGAGAGCACAGGCCTGCAGGCTAGTGACATCGCCGTCCCCGCCGCCTTCGCCGCTGGAGATGTCCCTACAGGTAGCAGCGGCGCACCTGCGCCGAAGGCCCTGCCTCCCAAGGTGGAGCTGGTCGTATGGCTCCACCCCACCGCAGAGCAGGTGGCGGCCTACAAGGAGGCCCTGGCCACCAGCGAGGTGATCCGCGAGGCTAACGACAAGACGAGGCTGGGGCTGGAGGTGTTCAAGGCGATCGGCCTCCTCAAGCGCCTGTGCAACCATCCTCTGCTGGGGCTGCCCATCTCCGAGCCAGGCGTTCGGGCGTTGCCAGAGGTGTCCCTGGCCCAAGGTGTCTGCAGGATTTCCAACGAGGCCCCCAAGGCACCCAGGTCGCCCCTCCCAAAGTCCAGATGGCCCCAGGGGCCTCAAACTCGTGCGAAAAGCTGGGGACATCTGAGCGACGGAGGAATACGGAGCCGACTGCGCCGACATTCGTGCGCAAGTGGCCCAACTGGCCCCCCAGACCCCCGACGTCTTGATTTGTTTTCATAATGTGGATCCCCAGAGGCCCAAAGGTCTGGACCCCTTCCCCCGAACCGGGTTTCCATCACGAGCCGTTTTTCGACGGTCCCCAGGCCCGGCGAGGACCCCAAGAGGCCGTTAACGATTGAAAACCTCCTCCTCCTCCTCCTCCTCCTCCTCCTCCTTCTCCCTCCTCCTCCTCCTCCTCCTCCTCCTCCTCCCTCCCTCCTCCTCCTTCTCCCTCCTCCTCCTCCTCCTCCTCCTCCTCCTCCTCCTCCGCCTACTATCTCGCCTAACAGCCGTTCCTTCTCGTCGCTCACCTGGGGCCGGGACCACGTCTGGCAGCCCCCGAGGCGTGTGGCAGCAGGCCCTCTCCGCCGCCTCCGCGTCCCTGCCGGGCGCCGACGGCCGCTTCCACGCCGCGTGCCCGCAGCGCAGGAGCCCGCGGGACCCGCCACGACCCTCGACCGCCACGGCGGTCGAGGAAGCGGCAGCGGCATCGGCGGCGCCGGCGCTTGCCGCCGAGGAGCGAGGAAGGAAAGCTTGCACGAGCATAAGCTTTTGGAGCTCCGCGCGGAGGTCTTCGATCGGCGCCTTGGCCCTCCTGGCGGCGCCTCCGGCGCCGCCTCTGGCGCGCTCCGCGCTCCAGGGAGGGCGGCCAAGGCGCAGATCCGAAACGTCGCGCGGACCTCCGAAAGGTTCTGCTTATGCAGCTGTTGTGTCTTTGTTTCCTGTCTACAGGACTTGGAGGACGAGATCGGCGGGAGCAAACCCTGATCTCCGACGATATGATTAGTGCAGTCTGGTCGATGATCCTCAGGACGTGTGTTGGCCCAAGCGTGTGTGTGTGTGTGTGTGTGTGTGTGTGTGTCCCCTGCAGTTCCGTCGATAGCGCGCAACCTGTGCCGGCCCTCATTGCGCCGCCTGCGTCGTACAGTCAACCCGCATAGTAAGGATGGGCAACCTTCCCAAGGGTGCCCTTGCATCCTTGCCTCCTTGCCTCCTCGGCCCATCTTTGCCCGCTTTCGTTGGCCGCGCCTCGCTCGAGAAGCTTCGAAGTGGGCGTCCAAGGCCCCTGCACCCTTACAGCGCGGCCGCGGCCGCAAGAAACCCTCGCAAGAAACCCAACCCTGAGAACCCGCGCGCGAGGTACACCTGAGGGGAAACCCCGAGCACCCCGAACGCAGCAGCTCCTCACACGGCCGCGGGGAGCCACCGCGCAGCGCGAGGAGCGAAGAAACCCAGGTCACCCTGACGAAAAGCATCTGGTTTCTTGATGCGCCGAAAAACAAAGAGGCGCCAAAAACCAAAGAGACGCCGAAGATCACAAGTACGCCGAAAACCAACGGGGTGCCGAAATCCAAAGAGGAAAAGTAGCTTCGAAGCCCCCCCTCAAGCCAGGGCCCTCCAGCTGGAAAAGCCGAGGGTGCGCCGCTGGATCTCCCCAAGGAGGGGGGGGGGGGTAGGACCCCCCCCCCTTCCCGCTGTATCGCGCATCATCGTGATACGGGCTGTGCTGGAGGGGCTCGGTGGGCCAGCACGCGCGGGCGCCGGCACACGCTCCGAGGATCGCGCTGGTCTGGGCGCTTCTCCTCGACTTCGGGGCCTCCGGGGCCCGTGGCGGGGGCGCCGGAGGCCCTCGAACGAACGGGGGTCCGTGGCGGCAGCCTGCCCCCAGAGGCAGGTCGGGCACGCCTCCTACAGGCGGATCTTGGAGGGCACATCAAACAGAAAGACATGTCACAACAAGTAGCAGAAAAGGAAAAGACGCGAAACATATCGTCCCCAGACTGTTCTTTTGAAAACCATTCTCGAAGGTGCCTCCTGCAGGGGGACATGCCCGACTTGACCCCAGAGAAGGGGTCGGGACATTTGAGGTCGGGACGAACTCCGAGGTGATCGTTTTTGTTATGCTGTTTTTTTCCGATCGGTGCGGGCTCTCGCAGCCGGCCGCTCCCTCCCCCCATGGAGCAGATCTTGGCTGTGGGGAGGAGGAGGAGGAGGAGGAGGGGGAGGAGGAGGAGGAGGAGGAGGGGGAGGAGGAGGAGGAGGGAAATGAGAGGGGGCTCCTCCTCCTCCTCCTCCTCCTCCTCCTCCTCCTCCTCCTCCTCGAGCGGCGCCAACGGCGAAGAGCAGGTGGAGCCGCTCCCCCATAGAACTGCTGCAAATGGCCGCCTGGAGCAGAGGTCTGGAGCCCGACCCCCCCCTCCCTTCCGCCCAGTCTCGAGACTCTGACTCAGAAAACGTTCACTTACATGTTCGGGTCGGCCGCACGCCTCCAAGGCGCCTCCAGCGCCGCCCCTGGCGGGCTCCGCGCGCCCGGAAGGGGGGTCCAGCGCCGATCCGAGGCATCCGCGCGGACCTCCGAGCTGTCATGCTTATCTCATCGTTCAATTCTCTGTGCATGCTCGGAGCCAGACCCCCCCCCTTCCGCCCAATGTCGAGACGCCGGATAAGAGAACGTTCGCAAGACGTTCGGAGCTCCGTGCGGATTTCTCGGACCTGCGCTTGGCGCCCCCGGGGAAGCGCCCGGGACCTCTGGGGCCGCCGACTGTCAAGTCGGGCCGGCCCTCTACAGGGGGAATATTCCAAAAAAGTAAAACAAATAGTCTGGGGACGAATGTTTTTGACTATGTTTGATTATTTCGGGGGTATGTTGTGTTTTTCGTCCAGAATCCCCCTGTCGGGGGACATGCCCGACCTAAGCCGACTGGGAAACGCACATCGGCGGACGTCGGGGAGAGGGGCGGACAGCCCAAGGGCGGGCATCGCGGTCGGCGGGGAGCCTCGTCGAGGACGTCGTCCACCTCCACCGGAGCCCCTGGACTCGTGCGATGCTGCCCCCCCTGGTGATCGTTTTTTTATTCATTGTTTTGCCGATCGGCGCGGGCCCTCGCATCCCCCCCCCCCCCACCCCCCTGGAGCTTGGCTGTTTTTTGGCGCCTGTTTCGAGCAGGTGGAGTCCCTCCCGCATAGGACGCACTGTCGCAAACAGTCGCACCAAGCAGAGGGGCGGAGAGCCCCCCCCCTCCCCCCCGTTTCCGCCCGATGTCGAAACCCCGAATTAAAAAACGCTCACCTGGACACGTGCGATGCTGCCCCCCCCTGGGCTACAGTCGGGCCGCTGAAGAAGGAACCCTTCTCGTTGGGGAGGGGCTCAGTGATCCTAGACTGTTTTACAGTTTGTCTCAGGTTTTCCTCTGGTTTTCTCTGGGGTGTGGAAGTTTAGTTGAACTTGTGGGAAACAGGGGCCTCGTTCCTAATCTGGGGTTCCTTCTGACAGCGTTTCGACTGTATGCGCCCCTGTTGCAGCCGCCGAGCGATGGCGGTGCGATGGGCGCTGGTGGGGCCGTCGAGCGCCTGCTGCGAGGGCTGCCGCGGGACCTCGGCTCGCTGGTGGCGCAGAGCGCGAAGCTCAGGTGCGTGGCGGCGATGCTGCCCGCGCTGATCGCGCGCGGGCACCGGGTCCTGGTCTTCTCCCAGGTCAGGCCGAATAGTCGCAGGCGATTCTTCTTCCAGAGCCCCCGACTTCCCGGCGAAAAATGAGCCGCTCAGAAGAGGAGGGGGACCTTGGGATACACCCCAAGGGGGCTATTCGGATTCACCCCTGGCGAGGATGGACGTCCCCCCATCCTGTGTCCCAAGCTTCAGCCCCAAATTTCTGGGCCGTTCGAACACCCCACGAAGCCTGGAAGAGGGGTTGACGTATCTCCTGTTGAGTAGCAGCGCAGAGGCAGACGCATTTCGTAGCTCCGCGCGGACTTCTTGGATCGGCGCTGGGCCCCCCCTGGCGGTGCCTCCGGCGTCGCCCTAGGCGCGCTCCGCGCGCCAGGGAAATGGGGTGTGCAGTGCCGATGTCAGAACTCGTGCGGACCTCCGAAACTCTATTCTTGTGCAGTTTTTTCTTCCTCTACCAGGGGGTTTTAATGATGGACTTGGTGGAAGTTTGCGTGCTCCGGAAGCAGGGTATCGGCTTCGTGCGCCTCGACGGGCACACCGACATCAAGACACGCGCCCAGAGGGTAGAGAGCTTCCAGACTGAGCCAGACAGATACCAATGCATGCTGCTGACCACACGTGTCGGTGGCTATGGCCTGAACCTCACGGGCGCAGACCGCGTCATCCTGCTCGACCCCGCCTGGAACCCGGCGACCGACGCGCAGGCGGTGGACCGGGCATACCGCATCGGGCAGCACAAGGAAGTCCGGACGTACAGGCTCGTCATGAGCGGCCTCATCGAGGACAAGATGTTCCGGCTGCAGGTCTTCAAGATGGGGCTCACCAACTCGGCCTTGGAAGCCTCGCAGCAGCACCGGTACTTCACCCACGACGAGATCCGGGCCCTCTTCAAGTGGGCCGACCCAGCGAAGGTCGGCCACGCGCAGCGGGGGGTTGGGGGAGGGGGGAAGGGTTCTCAGAAGCACCCCTGCTTCTTAGAAGGCGCGGGCCTCATCTATAGATGTAGGGCCTGCGCCTTCCAAAAGCCTCCCCCCCTCCCCCTACCCCCCTTGTGCGAGCCGCCAACAAGAGGGGGGTGACCAGGGTCGGCGGCGAAGTCCAAATCCAACCCTCGCCGATCCACATTTCGGGCAGCTCGATGGGCAGCGGGGGTAGGGTTCGGATGTCGCCACCCCATGAGGGGGGGGAGCATATCAGGGTTGGGGTCATGACCCCCCCCCTCCAACCTACACCCCTTTGCGTGCGCGCCGCCAAGAAGGGCGAGACCATGGGGCTGATAGCCGCGAAGCACGGCGAGCAGGACAGGGAGCAGGCGGCCGAGCACGCCCGGGCGGACGGGGCCTGCGAGGGCTGGCTGCAGGCGGGCCCGGCGATCGGCCTCAGCGTCTTCTCGACGCTGTTCCGGGCGCTCGCGCCCGAGGCGCCGCGGGAGGACGACGGCCCGTGCAGCGAGGAGGTGCGGGAGATGAAGGCCAAGATCTGTGTGGCCGAGCAGGAGCTGGAAGGGGAAACTGGGGACAAGTGCGAAGAAGCGTTGCTTCCCGTAGAAGTGTGGGGAAGAATGTGTCGCCGCGCCGTTTGTTTCGACGCGTGGCCTTACGTCTTGGGGAGGGCGCCTCGGCCACCAGGGCAAACGCCGCCTCGGACGCGGTGGGCTCGCCGTGGGCTTGCCGTGGTGCCAGCGTCGTCTACTCGGGCGCGGGGCGCAGGGCTTGCCCTGGGTTTGCCGTGGTGTCGGCGTCGTCCACCTGGGCGCGTCGAGAACAAACGGCGCGGCGACATACAATGGAGGCCCATGCCAAGAAACACCCTGCTTGCCTCCAGGGTGCCCTAGGTTTCTGGGGTTCCGATGGCTTTGCTGTGGAAGGCGTGACGGTCCCACACCAAAAATCGTTGGACGTCCTGGGGTCTCAGTGTTGGGTTTCTTGTGGACTGGCCTCCTCTGTATGCTGCATGGAGGGGACGAGAAGGGTCCATGAAATATGGGAAGCTACGGGCAACCAGGAGCTTCTGCCGATCTGCTTGTGCGGTCTCCCTTGGCCCCCTCGGCCGAGCAGGAGGCCGCCCGGCTGGCCGAGGCGAGGTCTGCCGCGGAGGGGCAGGTGGGCCGCGCGGAGCTCGGGGCGAAGGAGGTGGCGGAGCAGATCGCCTCGGCGGCCGAGGACCGCGGGGGCGACGTCAGGTGAGAAAAGGTTGCTCCGGGGTGAAAGGGTTGGTTCCGTGGTGAAAGGGATGGTTCCCCTGTGGAAGTTGGAAAGAATTCCTCCGTGAAATTTCCCCAGTGTGAGGAGCTCTGTACCTGCTCCTAGGAGGCCTCTGCGAGGCTCCCAAGAAGCCGCTGCGAGGCTCATACGAGGCCTCTGAGAGGCTCCTAAGAGTCCTCTGCGAGGCTCCCAAGAGGCCTCTGCGAGGCTCCGAAGAGGCCTCTGCGAGGCTCCTAAACGGCCGCTCCGAGGCTCCTACGAGGCCTCTGCGAGGCTCCTCGGGGTTATCTGGGATTCCGTTTTCGGAACCTCGACATTCTAGGGTGTCCCAGGAATTAGCATGATTCTTCGGATTCTCTTTTAGGCATCTGGCAATTCCTTGGAATCTGGGGAATTAGAAGGATTGTTCGGATTCTCTTCTAGGAATATGGCAATTCCTTGGCATCCGAAGAATTGGAAGGATTCCCAGGGTTCTCTTTTAGGAATCGGAGGTTGGGGGGTGAGATCGCAGTGGAACGGAGACCCCCAACCGGGAAATCGTTTCGTTCGTGTCGTGCGTGCGGGCGAGGCAAACTGCGTGGGCGCGCGATAGGAATGAACGCGCCGTTACGGGGGCGAAGTCAAGACAAATGATTCTCCCCCGCCCGCCCGTCCAGCGGTGGCTCGCGGTGTCCCGGGGTGTCCCGTGGTGTCCCGTGGTGTCCCGTGGTGTCCGCCGTTGCGAGGGCGAAGTTGAGACAAATGATTCTCCCCCGCCCGCCCGTCCGTCCGTCCGCCCGGCGGTGGCTCGCGCTGTCCCGCGGTGTCCCGTGGTGTCCCGTGGTGTCCCGTGCTGTCCCGTGGTGTTCCGTTAAGTGAGATCGATAGTGAGATCGATAGTGAGATCGATCGTGAGATCGATACTGAGATCGATGTGGTGCCCCGAGGTGTCCCGTGGTGTGCCGTGGTGTCCCAAAAAGTGAGATCGATAGTGAGATCGATCGTGAAATCGACAGGTGTTCCGTGGTTTACCGTGGTGTCCCGTTGAGTGAGATCGATAGTGAGATCGATAGTGAGATCGATAGTGAGATCGATGTGGTGTCCCGAGGTGTCCCGTGGTGTCCCGTGGTGTCCCAAAACGTTCAATCGTTAGTAAGATCGATGGTGAGATCGGCAGGTGTTCTGAGGTGTCCCGTGGTTTACCGTGGTGTCCCATTGAGTGAGATCGATAGTGAGATCGATAGTGAGATCGATAGTGAGATCGATCGTGAGATCGATATGGTGTCCCGAGGTGTCCCGTTGTGTCCCGCGGTGTCCCGCGGTGTCCCATGGTGTCCCGTTGAGTGAAGTCGAAAGTGAGATCGACAGTGAAACCGAACGTGAGATCGAGAGGTGTCCCGCGGTGTCCCGTGGTGTCCCGTGGTGGCCCGTGGTGTCCCGTGGTGTTCCGTTGAGTGTGATCGATAGTGAGATCGTCAGTGTGATCGACAAGTGTCCCGTGGTGTCCCGTGGTGTCCCGTGGTGTCCCGTTGAGTGAGATCGATAGTGAGATCGGTTGAGTCAGATGTTGGTTTCCCTCCCTTCCCCCCACAGCCTCCTTATCACCCGAAGGGTGTTCGTATCGGTATGGCAATTCCTTGGCTTCCGAGGAATGCCAATGATTCTTAGAATTCCTTCCGACGACGTGCCAGATCCCTAGGAGGGAATCCCTCTTACGAGCCGGACAATTCCGAAGATCCAGATGCATTTTTTGGATTTCTTATGCTTCCCTTTTTGGAACTTGGAAATTTCTAGGATCCCGAGGAATTCAGAGGACTCGTATGGTTCCATGTTAGGAATCTGGGAATTTCTAGGGCCCCGAGGAAATCCGAGGAGTCTTACGATTCACCCCTCGGAATTAGACAAGCACTTCGGGGAGTTCTTAGGATTCCGATGACCGCTTAGGATTCCCAGGGCCCCACTTAGGAATCTGGGAATCCTTTCTGGGCTCCTAAGAATTTCCAGGGTTCCTAGGATTCCCTTTTCTGTGGATCTGCCAATTCTTTACGCTTCGCGTATCCCCACCAGCCCATCTCACAGCAGCAACTCTCGCGAAGCATGCCGACAGTCGTGTTTTTCAGGCGTGTGTCCGCTTGGCCCCGCATATCTCCCTTGTTCCTCCTTCCTCCCGCCTCCTTGTACATCCTCCTTGTGGGGGGAGCGGGAGAAGGACGAGGCGGAGGAGGAGGGAGAGAAAGCGCTCCTCGTGATTTGAGTCGTTTGGGGTTTCTCGTCCTGGTGTGAGTCGTTCGGGCCCTTCTTCCTGGTGTGAGTCGTTCGGGCTCTTCGTGGTGTGAGTCGTTCGGGCTCTTCGTCCTGGTGTGAGTCGTTCGGGCTTCTCGTGGTGTGAGTTGTTCGGGCCCCTCGTCCTGGTGTGAGTCGTTCGGGCCCCTCCTCCTGGTGTGACTCGTTCGGGCTCCTCGTGGTGTGAGTCGTTCGGGGCCCTCGTCGTGGTGTGAGTCGTTCGGGCTCCTCGTGGTGTGAGTCGTTCGGGCGCCTCGTCCTGGTGTGAGTCGTTGGGGCCCCTCCTTCTGGTGTGAGTCGTTCGGGCTCTTCGTGGTGTGAGTCGTTCGGGCTCCTCGTCCTGGTGTGAGTCGTTCGGGCTCCTCGTGGGGTCTCTTGGGGGCGTCTTGGAGCCTCTTGGGGCCTCTTGGGAGTCGGTCGGGCCCCTCCTCCTGGTGTAACTCGTTCGGGTTTCCCGTGGTGTGAGGCGTTGGGGACCCCCGTCGTGGTGTGAGTCGTTCGGGCTCCTCGTGGTGTGAGTAGTTCGGGCGCCTCGTCCTGGTGTGAGTCGTTGGGGCCCTTCCTTGTTGTATGAGTCGTTCGGGCTCTTCGTGGTGTGAGTCGTTGGGGCCCCACGTCTTGGTGTGAGTCGTTCGGGCTCCTCGTGGGGTCCTTGGGAACCTCTTGGAGCCTCGCGGGGCCTCTGGGGCGTCTCTGGGGGGCCTCTTGGGGGCCTCTTGGGAGCCTCTTGGAGCTTCTTGGGGCCTCATGGGGGCCTCTTGGGAGCCTCTTGATGACCTCTTGGGGTCTCTTGGGGGCCTCTTGGGGGCCTCTAAGGAGCCTCCTGGGGTCTCTTGGGGCCATCTTGGGGCCTCCTACGACGTCCTGAGAAGCAGTCTTGAGCGCTGCCCCCTAAGAAAGAGAACATGACGCCAACACCTTCGTAACATCAATAATTTTGCTATGAAGGACGATGAGCGCGGCCCCCGCAGAAGGGCAAACTGGGGCCAACACCGTAGTAAAATCCATGTTTTTGGCTTGCAAGACGAGTGGAGGGACCAAGCTACCTCCCCCCCTCGGGAGCAGAATCCTCGTGAGGGTCGTCGTTTTTGGCCCTCCCAGGAGTCGAACAAGACCCCTTTGATCCCACTCGGCCCGCCCTCTCCAGGTTCAGGGGAGGGGATAGGGGGAGGGGTAAACCCCTCCCCGAAGGGGAAGATAGGGGGTTAGGGGGTTGAGAACAGAGAGAGCTCCCTAAACCACTCACGCCCAAAGGGCTGGTGGGATTCTTAGGAACCCGAGGAATTCTAGGTTTCCCCGGGTTCCCTCTCAGGAATCAGGCAATTGCTAAAAAGCCGAGGCACCCTTTGTATTGCTGACGAATGTCCTCTAGGAATTTGAGAATCTCTGGGGTCCCGACTTTGAGGGTTCTTGGGATCCCCTCCCAGGAATCTGGCAGTCCTTTGGATTCGGAGGAATTCCAACTACTCTTAGGATTCCTCCTGAGAAATATGTTATTTCCTACGGTCTTTCGGCTTTCCGAGGATTCTTAGGATCCCTTGTTCGGATCTGATAGTTCGTAGGATTCATGGAATTCGAAAGATATCGGCGACACCTTCATCGGAATCTGGCATGTTTTAGGAATTCTCAGGACACCTGGGAAGTTTGAGGATTCCTAGGGCTCCCTGTTCGGAGCCTGGCAATTCTTAGGATTCTTCTTAGGAATTGTGACGATGCCTAGGGCTCCCTCCCAGGAGCCTGGTCGGAATTCCAATGGCTCCACCCTAGGAATCTGGCAAGGCCTATGATCCAAAGGAATTCCGATGATTCCTAGGATTCGCTCCTAGGGTGCCGAGGAAGCGTTCGGGTTGTGAAACATCACTGTTCGGAATCTGGCCTTTCCAAGGGGGTGGAGGAGTCCTTGCGATTCCCTCGTAGGAGTCTGGCAGCTCCGCGGGATGCTTAGGTTTCCTAGGATTTACTCTGAGGGATCTGGCAACCCCCAGGGTGCCTCGGAATTCCGAGGATTCCTTCCTAGGAATCTGGTGGTTCTGAGGATTCCTGTGAATTCGGGTGATTCCTAGGTTTCCTTCAGTTCCCGGGGTTCTTGGGGACTGCAGCGATTCTTGGGGCTCTCTCCTGCGAATTTGGCGAGTCTGTGGATTCTTAGGAATTCCAATGATTCCTGGGGTTCCATTCTAGGAATCTAGCTATTCCCATAACTCCGCGGAGTTCTTCGGATTCCGTCCCCACGGGGTGCTCCCTCGTACGTTTCGGGCCCATTTCGGCACACCCCTCGTTCGGTTCGTGGCCCCACAAAGGGGCTCCACAGTATGTACGGGGCCCATGTCGGCACACCCCTCAAGCGGTTCGTGGCCTCATTGCCCAGGTGCCTCCCCCCACGCCTTCCCATGGGGGCTTCCCATTCCCCTCGCGACTTCATCGTTCATCCTCTCCCGCTCCCTGCCCTCCGTCTCCCCTTCCCTCCCTTCCTCGCCCTTCTTCCCCTACCAGATCGGGAAGGAGCACTGCAGACACGCGTCAACGCGCCGTTAGCAGGGTGGCGGGTTGCACTTTTCATCATGTTCGCAGCGGGCCAGACTTTTGATTCTTTCGTGGGCGGGAAGACCTAGCTTTGCATCGGCAGGCGGTTGAAGGGACACAACCCCATAATCTTGCACATTACACCTGAGCACTTGCGTTCTTTTTTGCAATAT